CCCCCTGTCCTTGATATCCATACACGAGGACCAAGAAGGCCACAAATTCAACTTGGAAAACGCAGAAATTTTGGCATACGGAGGCACGAGGCACAGAAGAGAATTTCTGGAAGCATGGTACTCCACGGCAAATTCGATCAACCGGTGCATCGAACTGGACCCAATTTACGCACCCGTACGTGCAAAAGACCAACATCCCAACCGGAAATATCAAGGAGGACCGAATATTGGACTCACAAACAACGAAACAAGGAACTCCTTGGAGGCAAATCAATAAAGGTCACAACCCAGGACTGGAAAGGACAAAGGTCACTCTAGCATCGACCAGATTACGACGGCAGGGGATGCCAAGCTCAAAGGTCACGTGGGCATCGGCGAATGGGGACACAGGACAACGGAGCAACCAATGGAATCGCCCTACCGAACAACTAATCGTGACCAAAGGTCATCCCCTGCTAGCAGCACGTATATTAACACACGCACAACACTACCCAACGCACAACCACCAACCCACCGCTACGCACTACTACGCTCCACAATAACGCACTGATGATATCACCTCGATTGGTGATGAAACGTTTGCAATCAAATTGCCCAGCTCAGCGAACAAGCCAACGACCACCATCTACGCTACCTGAGCTGTCAACATTCTCCTCTATTGACATGATATGTTTGTGACGGACCTGCCAAGTGGGTGTTCACCTGAAGTTAACGCAGGAAAAAGCGAGAATATTCTCATCACCGAGAAACAGCGTAATGAAGCAAACCACAACCCGTAGCGACCACAACGACCGACAGGCCCCGATAAATAGCCTTTAGATTAGTAGTTGACCGCAAGCTACTGGACGAACAAGCTGCTTCTCCGACTTTGGTTGTGGTCACCATTTTGTATCATACGCGGCGTACATTGGCGAAACGGGTATGACAGGAACTTATGAAAACAGGAAGTAAAAGCCAACTGAGATCGTTCAGCTGTGGCACCCTTCCGGCGCCTAACTTCCATGCAACTCGAAGGTTGCACGAGGGCTGGGATAGTGCCAGGTTGCCCGAGCCCAGACAGGGGAAGTCGAGAGACAGAGATCGGTTTCGAAATACGGACCTTCCGGTCAGTGAATTCGCGCTCTAACCACTTGGGCCATCTCGCCCCAAAAGCCAACTGATGGTGGAATTGGAGAGCAACTGAGCTGTGTATCGAACTTCAACAAGAGAGAGATGGCAAACTACGTTGTCAACTGACAGATTTGTGTGGAGTCCAGCAGAGAAACGGCTGCGCGAAAGAAAACTTCACAATGCGTAGGAGCGCGTGATAGACAGTCAAGACGAAATAGCCGTAACAGGGAAGCGGAAAATCGATCGAAAAGAGGAAAAACAGGTGGAATGTAGATGAAGCGGTGTGATGAAAAGAAAATATCGAGCATTCCGCAACAATAGTAGATCATCAGCTGCCGTCTCTGATTGGTCGATGCACTTGCCATCGTTTGGAAGGATCCCTAGATCTGAGTTAATCAAAGCACGGAATGAGGCTGGGCTGAAAGGTCATCCGTTCAGTCACTGATGACCGTAAGAGGCCTGGTCGCAGAAAAAGTAAGACAACAGCACAAACACCAACGTTTTCACCTAACGAAGACCTATTCAGAGATCCGCAGCAGACTCTACACGAAGGTCCAGTCGGACTTTGTAATTCTCTGAACTCGTCTAGTTAGCCATCACGGGAAGTTACTGGCAGTGGATAGAAAAGAGATGTAAAAAGAAAAGTAACTTTATCACACCCTAATTTTTCGGTTGATTCGGGTAGGTCTGTCTGTCTGTCTGTCTGTCTGTCTCTCTCTCTCTCTCTCCTCTAGACAGACGAAGTCAAGAGGCAGAGGTCAAGTTCGAAACACGAACCTTCTGGTCAGTAAATTCGCGTTCTAATCACTGAGCCATCTCGCCCCGTATGACTCTTGTGGTTCAGGTATTCTGCTGAACACGACTGACAAGTGCTGGGACTGTGTCCTTGAATGATCCAAGATGTTCTCAGTGGACTTCTCCAGAGAACGGGAAAAACTGTGCTCGTAATACAGATTATTCGGATGGCTCAAAAAAAGCGAATTCATGAGATTTTTCTTCATCCACTAAGATTAGTTTTGAAGTCAGAGACGAAATAAAGAGTACGTCGAAAAGCAACCGGGTTATGTTTACAAACTTCTTCGGCGTGCCATGTTACCAGTAATGACCGATCGACAGAATCGAAAGCACCCTTGAAGAAGAGGAACACCAAGTTTGTGGGTCATCTGTACATGTGGCGTTGCTCTAACAGCTGACACTATGAGGATGTGATTGACGCAGCATTTACGCGGTCGAAATCCCGTTTCATTCTCACGAATCAAGGTTACACATGCCACCGTAGGGCACCGAGCAATCAGCGACACAAAAAGCCTTGCTGCGACGAGAGACGAAACGACAACTCTGTGGTTAGCACATTCACTGCGAGCACCCTTTTGGGGCACTATTATCGATTCATCCTAGTTGTTTGGGACAATCTCTTTGTCCCAGATAAACTCGAATAGGCTAGACAGGTACTGGGTGAGAAACCCACCACCGTTTTTTAACAGAGCGGGTGAAAGGTCATCAGGGCCAGGTGCACGATTGGAGATATAAATTAAGACACTCCACAGTCCACCTTCCTGTTGAAGCCCATGATTCCGGAATTAACGTAGCAGGTGGCTAGATCAGAATACCAGATCTCTGAAGACTGAGAAGTGGATTGGAAAAACAAACCTTCAAATAAGTAGCTTGCGTTTTCAGTCTCTGCTGAGATGGACAGACATCCTATGCAATGAGAACGCTATGAAATCGGTTTAAGTCGATGACAGTTCATGCAGGCTGATTTCAAAAGTGGGTAGTGTGCGTCAATAACAAGATTACACCAACCTATTAAGAGTGTTCATCGCAAACGTGTTGTTCTCGTGGTTGTTTTGTGTAGGCAGGAATTTCTTGTACAACTGTCCAACGGCAGTGACGAGTCTGGTGGGACTGTTGCGCTGGCGATGTTGATGTTCGAATGTCGAGGGTGAACGGGGGCGGTCCGTGAGCTTGCCGTTTGCTATCGGTCCACCTTTGATCTTCAATACTCCAATAGGATCTGACAATACTTCAACGGGGATGTGCGCCAACCAGACTTGGGCGAAACGACCTCGACCGAGAAGTCGTTCTGTTCGACAGGACTGACTCACAAGCTGGGTGTAGAGAAGACAGGGTAAGAGAAAAATCAGGGGAAAAGGGTCGAACGGGAACCGTAACATATCACTCCAATCGAATTGCGCTATAAGGAATCCACTGTAGAAAATGCGCGAATCATAATCATCACCATCGACAGCATGACATCAGTGTTCAACATCGATGCTTCACTGCCGTACAACCATGATTTATTTGAAATCCTTATTGTGAAGAAAAGAATAGAGGTAAACGGGGAAGGGAATTAGTACTAGCTTACTACAATCATTTCGGGGTACCTACATCTCCAGACATTCACTCAGGCAATCTGGATAGAAACTGACAACAAGAACGCCACTGACATCGGTTGGCAGCCATATCTTGTAGTGTCTCCAACCGGGCACAGTGGGGATTACGCGGTCCCCATCCTGGAGGGCGATTAGCACCGATACCACCCAAGCGTTTCGTGATCTCCTTCATACCCTTCTGCCAAGTCAAATGCGCGAAACTAACAACTGAAAACTACCACAAATATTCTCATTCGAAAAGACCAAGCCATAGAAGAGGACGCTTGCGTGGACTCTTCAGAATAGGACAAGTGTTTCGTTTTTGAAATCTGAAAGTAAACTTAAGCGAGTGAACCGTAAGAAAGATCGTGAAGTGTGACCAAGTAAAGTACACAAGAAAAACTCCGAGGATTTCATGAATAGCGTTTAAGCGTAAAATTCTATTGCTAGTTAACCTACATTTATATACGATATACACGTATATATCCGTGTTCATACACATCGATTAGTCACAAAAGGTAGCGTATCCGCAGATGTGTCCCTTTTTCGCTGCCCCGTAGACGTTCGACAGGCTTGAAAATGTTGACGAAATTGTCAGTTTACAAACTGTAAATGGGATGCAGATATTCCCATGTTAACGTTTGCTCAGTGCGCACATCAGTAGCGAGCTCCGAATGTAGTAACAGCCATTTTACAAAAAGGAACGCTCTCAGGACCACTGAGAACCTTATGTTCTACTTGAACCCAAATTGCACGAAATTAGCGGAACCAAATTTGTTTGCAAATGAATGTATTTCGCTAAGAATGCTGTCGTTTCGACCAAGGTATTAGGAGAATGAAAATCGTCAATCAGGTCAAACCGACCAAATCATATCCCCACTTTCAGGGCGATAACCCCCATGTTCTCTGCAATAGGATGCTAATGCCAATCGATAAGATCACCGATGTCCGAAGCCCCAGAGCTTGAGAGTAAACGCGTGAGTGAAAAATGACGTGACAAGAGGATTAGGAGTACGTACGGTGTGAAAGACTGTGGCTGAACCACAAGGGTTGCGCATTTGACCATCCCGTGTGATCGAACGGTTGTAGACGGACTGACATCCGGGTGGTGTGGTGGAGACCCTGGGAGCATTAGATCTCAGTTGCTTGCAAAGGATCACCATCAAAAATGACTTAATCCTCCTACAGAAGGAAACACTAGGGTGCTGAGAAAAAAACAGTTCACTCCCAGAAGGTTACGTCGTACACGGTTTCAGATCCTACAACTGTATTATGGATGTCATTACTGCACTTATTGAAAGAAACAGTACAAACATCAGTCTTGTCCATTCGTCGCTAGGTAAGGAAGCATATTGAGCTACGATCAATGCTCAAACACCGGATCGCATTATCCACTGATATTCAATTACGTCTTAGTCTAGTGAAAAACGAGGGGAATGGGTTTTGAATGCCATGTGCTGACACCGCACAGTCAAACTCATCCGCCTTTGTGGCACACTGATACGAACAAGTAACACCACATACTATTGGCATCGACGGTTCCTTATTCAGTCTTAGCAACATATTGTGAACCACATTCATACAGGTACTCATTAAAACATCATAATGTCGCGCCACCATAAATGGTGGGTTAGTCAATTTTGGCAACCACGCGTCATTGTTGGAATAGGGACAGAGAATTCGAAATAGTCAGTCTTGGAAACCATTCACAGTCCTTTAACCAGATCTCCTGACACGACAGACGTGTGTCCAGCATCTGGGTCAGTGACAAGTTATGACGTCAAAATTTTTATTGTGTTGGCAACCACACCATTGCTAGTTGGTTCAGCTCCCCTAGCGCATCACGTGCTAGCAACAAAACACAGGCCAACAGTGCGCAACTATTCCACAAATGTTGACCAGTGATTCGGTCTGTTTACGTTGACCGATTGGCTGTGGACCAGAAGCCACCCTCCAATCTACAACCAATCAACACACGCGAGCTATCAACAGCTTGACCGTTTTGACCCATTGCTGGCGGAGCGAGTCTGAAAGTCCAATCGTTAGCTATCCAACATGGATGCTGGTCATCAGTTGGCAAATCACCGGACACCCGTTCTGAAAGCGACCAGAGAGCAAAGTCGGCACTAATCACAACAGATTGCGCAAAGTTGAAATCTGAAGCAGCGAGGTAGTTGAACTAGTGACGGTCCGTAATTGGCCACGAATGTATGAGTCCAATTAGGCAGAGTAAGATAGGACGGAACCTCAAGGGAACTGCGCGGTGTCCGTCAGATCAGGAGACTATGGAACAGGCAGACAACGACGCTGAAGAGCGATCGTCCCTGCACACTACCAGGACGGCTAACATGTCATTATGGACCGGACAGAACTGTCAGGTAGTGGTAAACGGGGAGCTCACTAGGGTAAGGCGTGAACTATGGTTTGGAAGGTGACCAATGAAAGAAGCGTCGATTGAACATCGCTTGCCAACTAACGCCAAGCAGCCTGACTCACCCACAGAAACGTCCCTCGTAAATCGCTTCTCTCTCCCTTTGTTTCGCAAATATTTACAAACGTGCATTGTTGTTAATTTAGGGGAGCTTCACAAAGAAAAATAAGATATAGTGACTAGCTGTGGGCGTGTGCGTGTGTACACGCGATCAACCTATTTGGATGGTCGCACGCGAGCACAGGTGTTGGCTAGCTAGTCGATTGACCGTGCGTCCGGAATCCAGCAAATAACCAATGGATGGGATCGATAATCACGAGCGAAAACCGATAGAATGTATGCATAGCGAGACGTGTACACAATTGAGAACACGAAAGAGGTTCGAATGACAAACATCACAACCTAAATAAACCATGTAGGCTGTGACGAAAAGAATATCCAGGAGAAAGGGATCGCCACGCACAGAATAACAGGCAGGCGAACTGGATGATTGCTCAGAAATCGTAGGCAGTTCACTGGCGGCGTATCGCTGATGCGCTGTAAAACAAGTCTCTTTCAACCCTCCCAATCGCACAGGTAAAACTGGCCTACACTGTAAATGAAACCTTGGGTGAGGCAACGCACTGATCCTACTAAACGTAGGCTGCACCTTTAAGTGAAACTTCAGTTGCTGAAAGTTATAACGGAGACATTTGCTGAAGGATGAAGGAGATCACATTTCGAGACAGTCTAACGGTTCAAAAACAGAAACGAAGTCCGTGCAACATTACCATAAGGAGAGAGAATATATTCAAGAAGGTGCTTGAATTACTCGGATTGGAATACGGAGCACCCGTAAAAAAGCGAATACTTTAAAAAAATTAATTAATCGCGTTCAGTCAGGTCAAAACCTCCGGTGACCTCTAATAGGCACTTTTGACCAAGGCAAACTCAGTACAGTCTCATGAGATTTGGCTCAGAATCGATACCGTTCAAGAGACAATCCAACAACTCTAAAAAGTACCCAAAGGGTTAAATCGTTCCCAAAATAGAGTGGTGAGGTGCGGCACTCGAGGATCGGGTTTCTTTTACACTCCAGGATTCAGTGTATGTCTTTTGACTGATCACGTTATTAACGCTGATGTCCGGAGTTAGTGAGTCTCGAAAAATGATGTGTTCCAAAACTAGGTCACCTAACCTGTTCTTGGACCTCTACACATAGAAGCGAGCAAGTAGGATATTGAAGACCTGAGAAGTTGGGAGCAATACACGTGTTTGCTGATCTCGAAAATGAGGCTGCATTCCGTGAGGTAAACAATGGCTCGAATTTCTGGCCTAAACAAGGTGATGGTAGTCGATCGAATGATGCTTGTCACACTCTGTGCATTTGGATTTAATCAGCAAAGTGTCAGCCTGCATGGAACATTGCAAAAGACGATGTCGCTGATTTCAGTGCATCCGACGAGAGTTATAAGAGATAACCTGCAGCTAAAACCACTTGGATCGCTCCACGTGATTGATTTAAAACCGAGGTGAGGAACACAAGCTCAACCACAACAAAAACGGAATATAGAACTTAGTGAGCAAGACTGATTGATGGCTCCCGATAAACAATACTGTTTAACAGGTGTACGGTCATAAATTAACAGTGACGAGTAAGCAAAGAATCAATCACCTTCACATCTGTTCATCTGACTACGTTTACGGATTTAAAGCGAAAAGAAAAACCACTGTGTCAGGGATGTGGCCTGTCGCAGGCCTATCGCATGCATCCAGGTGTCTACACCTCCAAGCGCTCATCAGATAACCTGGAAAGAAACCGAAAGCATGAATACCACTAAAATCAGTCAGCCGTCAATTATCGCACTGTATCCAGCCAAGCGCGGAACAGCTCGGAAGGCATACCGCACGATCAACACCCAAAATCTACGTTATCCCCTTCACACCCTTCTGTCAAGTATTACGTTTTCCATCTCACAGTTTGGACCATTCCAAAAGAGGCACGGAGAACAACATTCTCTCCATTGTTGTTCAGCTTCATCATTGATGAATAATGAGACGAACACTGGAAGGTCTTCAAAACCCCGGTGTTCCGATCGTTGCTGGTGAGAACATTGTAGCTGTAAAGTACGCAGGCGACGTCTTCTTCATCTTTGAAGACGAAGACGCAGCACAAGCTCTGTTGAATAAACTGATCACCGTCATACCATCCTTCGGCATGCGTCTTCAAAGTGCAGTTAGCTTTATAACGTGCAATTCCATTGGAGTTTGTGGAGAATTTTATACACTACGGTAGTTGTATTAGCTCTCACGGAAGTGTGTTTGATGAAATCAGCGCAGGAACCTCACAGGCTCGAATCACGTTTGCTAATTTGCTTCACTTGTGGTGTCCAGAAAGGCATATCACTGGGTCTTGAGGGTCGCGTGTACCAGGCGATGCCAAGGGCTGTGTTGTTGTATGACTACAAGACGTGACCTCTGTAGATGGATGATCTGAACACCGATGCCTGTCAAACAAAATCACCGCGTTTTCATTGGTTTACAGTTTCAAACCCTGTATTGGCTCTTCGAATTCGTCTAATCGAGGTCTTGGAAGTGTGGGCACCTGAGAACACTTGCGATGGGCAGGCAACAGGTCCCCTCCCTCACCCATTCTTTACTCTTGTTGTCATCTAAGACTTTTGTATGAACTTTTTGCGGACTTTGCGGTTGTGCGGTAGTGAAGCCAAGAATGATGTTGCTGTGCCTGATGATGATGATGATAATGATGATGACGATGATGATGATGATAATGTACTTCCAGAGAGTGCATCTATCACATTTTGATTTCGGCTTCTTCATTCCAGTTTGAAGGCAGCCACTAACTTTTTTTTGGGTTTGAGAAGTTTGCACCAGTGGACGGTCACGGTGCTGGAAGCACCATCGGACCACAATCAGAGTACAACTTTGCCAGTCCAACAGCTTTGCGAGACATTGTTCCAAAGCTTTTGTCTGGTGTACAGCATGCATGTCGAAATTTGTTGGGGCCTAACGGTTTGCAATTTTCAGGAAAGACTTGAAAAAGACCAACCAATGGATTGGGAGTTCTATATGTAAGTGATAAATGTAAGTGGCCGGTGTTCGACTCATCTGACGACATGTTGACATATGGTCCGGAAATCGAACTCAAACTGGCATTCAACCGAGCTGGAAGCCTCAGGAAGTTCTCACTTGTTCATTCTTATCTTCACAAGATTAGCGAGTAACATCACCCATTTGTCATTTCAGTTGATGTCCACCTAATTATGGGGAAATGTCCGTTCTGGAGAATATTTAGCTGAAACTGTGTACCAGATTCACGTGATACATTCCTCATGAACACATTATCCGCAGTGAGGATTAATGGCCTTGTACAACTTGCCACTTCCGAATGGGATCTCACTTGTGCTACAAACATTCAGCGAATTGGAAGCCAGTGAACCGGTAATTATTAGGTCCTGCGCCAGGATAGATGATTATCCGCCTGAGCGCCGGTAGTTTGACTGTTTGAATAAATGGGCAACTGGTTCCAATAGGCAACAAATGAAATTCCTACAACAAAGCAAAGTTACGAGAAAGAAACGAAATCCGGTTGCCGGTAATCTTGATTCGCTTCAATCCAAATTTTCTCATTCAAAAACAAGTTTGCATTTGCAACCCAACAACCATTCTCTCAGCGTTCACATCTCTTTCCAGGCAGCACATGCTTTATTTCTTTTGACAACAGATGGAATCTGTTCCTTTTGCTTGCTGCTACTACACACAGAAAACTTGTCCTCGAAAGACTGTCTAATCTATAGCGAGAAACTCACCTGGAACCCAACTGAATCTTTTGTTTGTGATATTTTCGGAGACTTGTGTACGTGATGAACCCCAATAAGGGCGAAACCAGTCGTGAGCTGTCGAAGAACTTTCAGAAGGCTTATGAGCAGTACATTACGAACATACATGTATCGCGATATCTCGAACATCGTACCAACTGAAACATGAGGCAGTCTGCTGCAGCACATTCACTTGCCTGGAAACATCACAAACGAGGCACATTCACTTGCCTGGAAACATGACAAACGAGATTCTGCTGGGTTCCAGGTGGAGTCTCTCGCAAAAAAATTTGTTTGCAAATGAGTGTAGCCCGCTTATTCCGCACAATTTAGTTCCAAGTAGAGCATAAGGTTGACAGAAACTCGGGGATTGCGTCCACCTACTGAGCTTCAAGAAGGGCGGAGCCGGTCGTGCCTCATCTACACTTTTAAAGAGCTAAGCGGGATGTAAACTCCCAAACATTAGAAAACCACACCCACGTGAATGAGCATTGCCCTGCTTCATCGATTTCCAAAATACTTGTTAAACTTACAGTACCCAAGTCAGTATGTAATGACGTTTCTGGTCCATTAAACATCCAGCATCACACCGTCACGTATTGGGAGGATGGATGGTGAGCATATAGTGTCTTCCACCATGAGTCCCAGTTCACAGACATTAGTCAGAAGAAAGCAATAAGAACTCCGAGGATGCCGACAATAAAGATAAAGTGGATCGATTATGGAAAGGCAAAAGCAATCAGTGTCACTGACAGCGAGCGAATAGTTACCCTGGTTTATTTAAACCTGGTGCATTAGATCCGAAATGAAGAAAAACCACAGTAACCCTTCTGGATAGGTACCAACATTTCAGACTTATTAATGATCATGACAAGAATACCCCTGGAAAAAACGCTCCAACGATAATACGATTTTATTCGATTCTAAGGGGTATTTTCAACTGTGGTTGATTTTTTTCGGTATAGCGAAAAAGTGCTAGGTACCTGGAAGAACGAAGGTTGTAGCTGCAATCCTCCTCATGACGGATCGGATCTTGAGAGTCAAAAAGTACACACCTATGGACTTAGTTCGTCACTGAGATAAAAAAAAACCTGCTCAGTCACTGGGGGATTCTGTCACCAGGTTTTGATCATGGGATAACATTTTCATAGAGACGCTTTATAAGGCGGTACTACTGAAATCGAATTCCAAACAGACAAAATCACTCCTGGTTCTAACCTGCATGACCGACCACTCCAAAGAATTGAATTTCAAAGACATTGTCGGAAAACACGTATCTAGCTGCGTTCTGACAACTGTTCTTTGGCCGTTCGAGCCCTTTCCCAAGCCAGATTGGACATCGGTTGAATCGGCATCCCCAGAAAACACTGGAGCACTTGACGACAGATGACGTCGCGTTGTTATCCTACCACAACATGACAAGCAATTGGAGCAATGAAAACCAACAGGACCTTCCGTAGGTGACTGAGAGCGTGCAGCATAGAAGTTGTTCACCGCAGTAAACTTGCGACGCAAAAACTGAGTGGGCGAACAGAGATGCAAAATAATGACGCCCACCAGTAGGACTATAATTAATCCGATGAAGCAGGGAAGAAGTATGTGGATCATATGGGAAGAGACGATGTCAGCCGAATTCTTCGACGGGAGTGACAATGACGGGTGGTTATTCGCATCACGGATGCCGAACTTGGCCATGCGATTGGTAGTGTCATCTATATGTTCGACTAAAAAGTGTAGAAAAACAGGTGTGATAGTAGAATGCAGTAAATTCGGTGGGAAATGCACAGCGGTAGTTTAAACCAGGCTACGAAATTCCCCAGTGTCTACGTACGAACAGGTTTCTAATTTGACTGTATTTCTCTGTCTTTTCCACAAAGACTACAACATGTTTATTCTGAGCAGTAGTCAGTCTAGCAAATGCAGTTTTGTCTAAAGTATAAAAAAAACATGGAATGAACAACGAACAGATGGAGGCACAACCTTATTCGAAGTATCACAATACTAAGGTAATCCGGAGTGCATAGATCAGCCCAACAGGTTCAAATGCGCACAAACATAGGGTCAAAATAGTCTTCCCTTGTAAAGTGTTGATCTCAATTAAAACTGAATGCGATCGTTCGTGATGATTGGCCGCAGAGAATTGAATGTCATGAATACACTATCACGTCAATCGTTGTATCAGTTTGGTTGTAAAATCCACCGAACAGCCTCACGGGGAAAACTCTGACTGGATCGCATTTCTATCAGTTGACAAGTACAGGCTGCCCTCACGCCTTCGTGCCACTGAATGTTACTAGCGCTGTTACCAGAAACGGAGGTCGAAAAGCTCAAATCACATACGTGGTCAAACCAGGATATGCAAACTTATTACTGCCTGATTCTGGTGATAACGAACAAAGCCAGTCTTTCCAGAACCAGTTCTCCCTCTCTACGACCGAATAACCAAATCGTAGTCCAAGGACAGCATTGTTTCCAGCCAGATAAACTCCCATGTGATTGCATTCATTCGTTTTTTCGGCTATGTATTTATTTAATCGTTTGTACACACATATATATATGCTAATTTCATTATTTGGTTCTCTTCTCCTACCACAGGATGGTTACAGAGGGCGTGGAAGCTGCCACTTGAAATAGACGGAAGCAAAAGTCGATATGGAATTAGAGACACTACCCCCTAATACACGTTTCCTCTGGTAAATGCTGTGGGTATTTACTTAAGTAGGGGGGGGGAATCATACGATTCAGAAGTGATTTAATCAGAACCAAATCAAATGAATTGAATGTTGTCAGTTTTAAGCGTGCGAGTAACTGAATTAACCACGTTTTCGTGGATCTGATGCTCTGCTAGGGTGGCCGGAACTCAATGGAAGTGAAGCGGAAACTTTAACCATGGGAAGTAATTCCGGGTTCCGTTTTGCAAGGCCAAAACGATTCGTGTTGCACAGATGAGAAGTAAAGCAAAGATTCTTCGTGATAGTCGGGTAATAAAGTGGGGTAACAGTTCGACTGACTTTGTAGTCTTAAGATATTCTTGAGAATGTTCTTCCCAATCCAATCTCGGGACCGGATCCATAACTTTACCTTTGGACCATATGTGTTTTACCATTACAACGACTAATCCGCACTCAAACGCAATGTGGCGAAAACCACCATCATCACGTGACCTAGGGTTAGCCGGCTCCTCAACCGGGAAATCTCAGAGGGCTTGATGGTTTCCCTGTGGAATATATCATCTTTTTCAAGTTTGCCTCACCTTTGATCTGCCTTTGGTATAGCAAACATGAAGTACACAACTCCAAAGCCATGCGAATGCTCCTCAGCGTTCGAAAGAGATGAACACCAACACACTGATCAAGTCTCGCACCATTCCATCTTCGGATGGAGGTGGGAGAATGAAACAAACAACCTATAACCACTTATAATAGATTACTCGATTATGAAATAGCACCCAATTGAACAGAATCCAATGACTGGATTGGTTGTCGACAGACTGTCGGCCAGAGAAAAAACAATACCTTGTCGAGCGAGGATAAGATGGCATAATAATAGTCTCCTGAAAGGATGTATTGTCAAACTTAACAGCGGATCATGCTGCCTTTTTTAAATGTTACTACTTCACTGGAAAGCTAGTCTTGGGTAACTGTCATATTCCGCCAAGCGACCACTGGCATGAATCATGTCGAAAAAGTTAAGTGGTCGGCATTCAACAAAATAAATTTCCATCGACTAGAAATAAAACCGACCGATTGAACCAACGGATTGGTTGAGCAGAGTCCCGTTGTGGCTTGTAAAATGAATTCGGTTTCAAGTATGTCACATATGCTTACGAGAAAGGAAAATATCGGGACGAGTGATGACGTAGGAAAGCCTCTGAAAGTGCTTCAGCAAACTCAAGTATTATTCTTAAGATATCACGTAAAGCTTTGTTTGCTCATTCTTTAAGGGGTAAGAAATTCGATCCCACTAAGTCGCGAGCTTGTTTGGAAAGTTACTGCTAACGGAGATTTGGAGGGTCTTGTCTGAACAGTTATCGATCCCCGCGAAAGACCTGATGGCTACAAAGTGATGGTGTTGATTTTTTGGCCGGTGCTCATAGCGCATATATATTTCTCAACTAAAGACCCCGGGAAATCTGTACCTGTACTTATTTCATATGACTATACATTCTAAGACGTCAAAAGCGTTGTCTACATAAAGAGTTGTGTTATGGCCCGTTGTGGTACTTGGGAGGCGACCTCAAAACAAACCGACAATCTGGGATAGCCTTGAAATACACCAGACATTTATGGCGTTGACACAGTATTCACATTACTCTGAAAAGTACGATGTACCGCCACAGCTTGCGCTCTTTCATCGTATAATTGTAAAACCTGGACTCTGAGCTGAATATGGCCGTGGAATGAGTACTATTGATTATCGCTGGTTGCACGGTGTCGTCTGCGCTGCCTCGGAAAACCATGCCAGAAATAGTAAGGTTTGAAATAGATGGCCCACGGCTCCACATTATTAATTTTGCTACACTAGGACGACTCGGCAATGTGCTTCAAATTTCCTTTGAGCAGCCACCAGTTTGTGCCTCATTCACGTGCTCCGAGTTTGTTTGGAAGAATGGTGTAGAAAGGTAGAAGACGGCCTGATATAGGTGTGCAGAGGCTTGACACCAAACTAACCTGCCTTGATCAAGCTCACCTCTATGAGTGGGTTCAGAAGGATGGAGGGTGATGTTAGTAGGCACACTGAACGGAGAAAATGAATTCAGTGCCGTGACTGCCCGTCAATTAGTTGCAAAGTGTGTTAAGAAAAGGCGAGAAAGAGGCGCGATGGAGCGGAAAGCTGTAGTCAAGGCCCCATCTTTGCTTGACTCACCTGTTTTACTGGGATTAGGCAGGTATTTCAACGTTTGGTTGTTGCACATGTCACCGTGGCAACAGCAGGTTTTGTATATATCGTCACCGGTGGTGTGTAAAATTTGACAAACTCCTTTGACCAATGGACACTGAGACTTCTGTTAAACGCGATTAAGTACACGTAGAATACAGCAACTTACCAATTCTCGCCAGGGCCAGCAGCCATAACTATGTCGCTCATAGTCATCTCTAGGTTCTGTAGAACGTCCCAGTGTGATCAGACAATGTTCGACACCATCATCACATTGTTTGGCCTTAAGAAAAATGATGTTGTCCACTCGAGAAGACGATGCGCAAAGAATAGCACCAAGGCCATACATCAGGCTAGACATCAGAAAGATCATCAGCAAAGACGCATGCATGGGTAATGCAGAAGTTGATGCCTAGACTGATGGAACTGCAACGGGTGGTGATTCCTGTATATTGTGAAGCATGGTTGTCCGTCGGTCGCGCATTTTCAAGACACTGGAAAGAATTAAGAGGAAGATATGGGTATGAGAAGAGAGACAACATAATAGTAGTCTCGATGCAGAAAACTCGGTCCGTTTAGTAAAAAGCGGATTGAGTAGTGACTATAAACTTCGCATACTATACACCAGTTCCCCCGAAAAAATCCCAAAGCCTCCACCTTGTTGGGGCTCGGTTGCGGGCTACACTGGCTTGAACTGAGTCTCTTAAGTTTCAGTTCACGGGCCACTGGGGAGCGGTTCGACGACGAACAACGAGTCCCCGTCCAGCGATAGAGCTTACTGACAAGTGGTCTGGAGTTAATAACGTACAGCTCGCACTGACAATAATGTGAAGACAGTAAGGTGTTTCTCCCAGGCGACCAGCATCTACACATTTATGAATAGCAATCTTGCCTTCTCTGAAAGAAGGACGGGTTAGGAAAGCTCGGTCTTAAAACCTCACATTCTGACCACCCGATAATTAACTGTGACTGCCGATGCAATATTCAATACTGATGAAACACTTAAAAATTGACAATCCGACGGTGCTCAGAAGGCACCTATCGTGTGTCTTAATCCGTGCGCGCTTGTTGGACGAAATTATGGCAGCTACAACAACTGTACGACAAGTACGCGGTTCTTACAGCTGCTAATGATAAAGACGACGGGGATATGTAAGCCACCCTTCCACTAACTTATGGGTCAGACCTGGAATCTAAAAGTTGAGAGTAGGGTGCCCGAAATAAGTCCCTGTTACCGGGCTCAGCGGCGAAAAAGCCCCACCTCCCCATGCAAGACGCATATTGGAAAGAGGAGGAACCCGGAAAGTAAGAATCTCATGAATGAGGATGGAAACAGGCCTAAAAGACGAGACATTCTCGCAGCAAAGGAACTCAAACGCAACACGAGACCCAGTGGGATCCGGCAGGGTGATCCATGAAAGCTGCGAGACGCTAGCTCTGGTAATGTATCCTAATGAAATGGAACAAGAACAAAACGGTCAGCGAGATCATGGTTGTAGATCACATGAATCGGATAACAATGAGAGAACCAGCCTGCATCAACTCAAGAATGATGACCATCGGTCTCCGACTGTGGGATGTCCCGATAATGTTAGATGCAGATGAGGAAGAAAAAAATTTCACGAGCGACAGTCAATGCGTAACTTCAGGCTCAGCACTGGAAGACTCGGGATGTTCGTGTGGCACTCAAAGAGCCTCTCATATCAAGTTGGTCAATGGGTAGACGTTTTCTGGTCCTCCAGACCAAAGGTTTGGCCCATGAGCAGCAACCGGCTCCTTAAAAATGTAAACTGCTCTGATGGTCCAACGCCAACCACTGCTGTCTGGCTGTTAGGGTTTTGGACCAAACGCTTTGGCTGATGACCATAATCGTCCTTCTGTCTAAGTTTGGGCACCCTGACAGTATCCCGGGCCACGTACAAGAGTACCAATAAAATCATGCCACATCCACCGCCGTGTGGTGGCATCCACCGGTTCACATTACTTGCTGTATGAAGCAGGGTGGATAAGCAAAAATAGGCCACTGCTGACTACTCCTTTCTTACTATTCCACCTACTCACTCTTCTCCCCCTCGTCATTCCGACTCTATAGACATCTCCGCAGGCACATTCCTAAGGACTGACTGAGCCGTTCGACTCCTGTTGTCATTAGCTGCAATATCTACGGTTGACCTGATCTACATGGCCACAGACACTTTAAAATCATTCTTCAGACTCAGATGCTCCGTTAGCCTGTTAGCCTCTAACAATGGCACTCTGAAACAGACTGCACAGTAGATTGCGTGCTGCCTATTAATCGCACCTGGTTACGTCCAAATCGGGGCGAGAGGTCTACGTGGTTAGAGCGCGAATTTACTGACCGGAAAGTCCGCGGTTCGAACCCGACCTCTGCCTCTCGACTTCTGCTGTCTAGGTTTGGGTAACTTGGCAGTATCCCAGACCACGTTCTTCCTTCTGACAGCATGGCAGCTAGGCACCGAAAGAGTGCTACAGCTGAACAATTTATATGTCCAAATCAACTTTAGCTTTGGTACACTCAAAGACAGCTTTAATGATTTCATGAGCACACTGCTGCTGCAACAAAGCAGTGGTGTGGGACACTGATGTCATGCTGTGATGATGTGGCTCGACTTCTGCTGTCTAGGTTTGGGTAACTTGGCAGTATCCCAGACCACGTTCTTCCTTCTGACAGCATGGCAGCTAGGCACCGAAAGAGTGCTACAGCTGAACAATTTATATGTCCAAATCAACTTTAGCTTTGGTACACTCAAAGACAGCTTTAATGATTTCATGAGCACACTGCTGCTGCAACAAAGCAGTGGTGTGGGACACTGATGTCATGCTGTCGATGATGATGTGGCCGCAGGAGCTAATAATGGGCAGGTAGGTAGACTTAGTGCCGCCGATACTCAATTGGGTGGTAGTCTTGAACGAATCGAGGCCAACGGACAACAGCGGACTGTCATGATTCTGTAAACCACACTTCTTGTGTATCACTAACTGGTAATTTTCACTCTATATTTTCAGCTAATGTACTACCGCTATTAGATGATTAAAGCATGCATTACACCCTTCTCAATCAATCAATCTATCAGCTTTAAACCATGTACCATAGAAATATTGGCTCCAGTTGCTGCAGTTTCGATCAAAGGAAAACGAAACAGTATGGGACATACAGCCAAGCCTCGGAGGCGATGGTATCTCGAGATAATTCTGGAATCTAGTAGTTACGCATTGAAGGCAATTACTTTGATGCACGAGCGCCACTGACTGCCCGATCGGGCCATTTCCGCCAGTGTCATTAACCATTGATGAGATGAGTCCCAGGGTCCTCACCCAGAGAGACGGCATTGGCCGACCCGATTAAGTGTAGTGGTCAGTGTTTCCAAACTTTGATCAGCTGTAGCACCTTTTCGGCGCTTAACTGCCATGCAGCCAGAAGGAAGCACGAGGGCTGGGATACTGCCAGGTTGCCCAAGCCAAGATATAAGTCGAGAGGCAGAGGTCGGGTTCGAACCACGGACCTTCCGGTCAGTAAATCTGCACTCTAACCACTGAGCCAAGTTGTACACTACCCACCTCTTGATCGCTTTCACTTAGCACAGTGTTGGCGAAAAGAGCTGTGCAAGGCAGACGGTCTTCTGGCACGTGGAGTACATGTCCTAACTAGCGTAACCTATGAAGCCTGAGTAATTCATTTATCGCTGGAGAGTCCCTTCTTCCTAAGACCATCTGGCGTATCTCAGCATTGCTGATCCGATATCCTCACCAGACCTGACCAAAGATTTGGAGACACCCATGGTCAAACACTGACATCTTCCGCATGTCCTCTGCACGTAGAGGCCACATTTCTGATCCATAAAGCCGTATGGATTGCACTGTGCAGTGTAAAATTTGCCCATGAAGGACAAACTCACGTCATGTAGACGCCATAGGTGTCGGAAGTTATCAAAAGCTGTCCTGGACTTTCCGGTTCGATTGATGATGATGATGATGATGGTTCGAGAATTAATCTCATCTCCAGCCAGTAAACCACAACTTATACAGTTGCAGAGACAAGCAAATTTATTTACCACGTCGATTACCTCACCTGCACGCACGACGTGTGGGTTCGATCCCACCCAATCTTGTACAAGCACTTTACACTTCACAGGTGCGAAGCGAATGCGGCAGTTATTTTGGCCATTTAGAATGGTTAGCATTTTTGAAGTATCTGAACCAAGGAGATCAATATCGTCCGCATACTTAATATTTGTGAGCGAATGTCTCGGGAGCACCTCGACTCCCGAGGTTCCAGAGGCAGGCAGAGAAATTTCAAGCAGCATGTCAATTACAAAGTTGAAGAAGAAGAGTGAGGGAGTCAATTTGCATACACCAGAAGGAACGGCAATCCCTAATTGAAGCTCTCCATCGGTAATTGATAGCCACACGGTCCGGTTGAGTCCACGACCGTTTTGTGGAAAATAGCCCCACCCTTCTAATCTCGAGCTGGAAGCTCTCAACTCTTACAACAATTTGATCGTCTAGTAAGGAAATAGTTCAGATCCCCCGACGTAAGCTTTTGATGCCGATCCTCAATCACCAGATGGCACTAAACTATTATCTAAATAAATCGGAAACTCTCACACGTCACAATAACCACAGTATGACCTCATTACAGCATGTAGCGACTACGGGAAAACATCATATTCCCCGTAAAAATAAGAACTCAGTCAAGATGTTGATTGCTGATGTGGCATGAACTGAACCTTGACAAAGCTCAAGAGCCAAACGAGCTCTCGAACTTGCACAAGAAATCACAATCAAACGTACAGACAATCCGCTGCTTGTTCTGTGTCTATCTCTTCGTCCTTTGTTAACCCTGAAACAACTTTGTCTGCCGCTAAAGAGGCAGTTTGAAAAGTTCTCGGGAAGTAGGGCACTTAGACATCTTTAGGTCCAAAAGCTGGAAATATCACGTGGGTTCAGCTCGAGACTCCTCAATCTCCTCGTTGTTATGTGCTGCTTCCAATTCCCTATCGAAAACTACAACAGATATTTTGGTCAACGGCGTTGTTGTCCGAGTTCTTATTGATACTGGCAGCTCAATATGTTCCGTTTCTAAATCAGTCCTACAAACTCATAACTAGAAACTGTTTATATACGGTTCTGTGACAACAATAGCGTCGACGACACAGCAGTGTTCCACCGAAAGTCGTTGTCTTGTGTCCATTCGGTACAAGGATGCTACATAGGAATGGTTCAAACTATGTGTATTACCGAACCTCTGTGCAGACGTCCGTCTCGGATATGAAATCCTGGGGTTACATGATAAAGTTGAAACTCCATTCGGTGGACAGCAGGGCATCCTAACTGTATGTAGCGTAACATCCACAAACCCCCAACTTTATT